TTTAACACTAAGAAGTATATACCTAAGGTGTATGTAATGCAGTAGTCGAGCAAAGTGGAGCATAGTTATCTTATTTGATTTCTATTTGGCTTTCTATCCTGGAGGAGTATAGTGACTCCAGATGCGGAGCGTAGCAGAGTATAGAAAGCTTATTTGTTTACTAAATATGTATAGTATTCTACTTTTCAATCATCACTTAAAGCCTTTCTATCAATAGCAAAAATCATAAAAAAGTTGGACAAAACTCTAACCAAAAAGTTGTAACAAAATTAGTTTTATTATATACTTATAGAAAACCTAACCAAAATATATATATCATTCTGCTTTTCAATCGTCTCTCGAAACCTTTCTTTTATATTTACAAAACAAAAAGTTGAGACAAAATTAGTTTATTATATACTTATAGAAAACCTAACCAAAATATGTATAGTATTTTGCTTTTCAATCATCACTTAAAGATAGCAAAAATCGTAAAAAAGTTGGGACAAAACTCTAATCAAAAAGTTAAACAAAACTCTAACCAAAAGGTTGAGACAAAACTCTAACCAAAAATTTAGACCAATTTTATATATAATTTTCTTAAGATGTTTCTGAAAATATCTAGAAACATAAAACCTTCTAATATGTTTAGAGCAATAACCAGAAATAAAATGAGTAGGTTCACTATATTTAAAGCAGTGATTATAAGGTAAAGCTTTATAATGAAAATAGCAACCCTCAAAGCGAGTACTACAACGTATACAAATTTTGTCAGAATAATCAACAAAAGAGCAAGTATACATAGTACTCATTTTTATATAAAGTAAAAATATAATTTAAACAATTTTCTATAAGTATATAATAAAACTAATATGACTTATAAACAAAATCATATATGTAAAAGCTGTAGGTATATATATTCAACACTACATAAACTTTGTCAACATTATAATAGTAATAAAAATCTATATCATCACTGAGATTTACCAAATCAAAATCCAACTCCATCAGCTAATCCAGAAATAGAATTTCTTAATCCATTGAGATTATTTGATTTTCCAGAAAATGGTAAGACTATTCCATCATCAAAAGCTGAAAGAGAATATCTTGAAGTATTAGAAATATTAGAACCTATTCCACAATTTTATCAAACTGATATTATTAGTTCTGAATATAAATTATTAGATGATCATTATAAAGTTGAGATAGAAAAAGAAAGTATATATGTACAAGACTCTATCAAAACTCTTGAGGGTACTTAGGGAACAAATAAGATAACTATGCTCCACTTTGCTCGACTACTGCATTACATACACCTTAGGTATATACTTCTTAGTGTTAAA